AATCTTTCACTGTCTTTCACTTTAATGGCTACTGTCAGGTCAAGTCAATATTTTTCTGTTCTTTAAATCTGAACAAGAAATAATGCATATATCAACAATACTAATTTGCGATTCTTACATCATAATGGTCATTTTTCAATATAAAAATTTATACCTGAAAATGTATAATCTGGTTTGATATTTCCATTTTTCAGTGGCCTCTAGCCATATATAAATAAAAACATAAAATCAAAATTTACACTTTACTTAATTAAAATACATAAGCAAGACCAAAACCAATAGGCAATTACTTGGGTATAGACAGACAAAAAATTTACCTTAGTCTAAATTTTCACCCAATACTGAAGCAGCCTACACAGCGTGCATCTGGACTGTCTTCCTTTTTCTGGCCTATGTTCAAATAATGCAAACTAATTGTAACATATGAAAAATCAAAATAAGTAAATATTAAAAAATGAAAATAAACATACCTGTCATTACAAGGTCAGGTATAATTTTTCTTTTGCTTTTCAGCACCCATATTCGTTGTATGCTCAGAGAACCCTAACTGGTAAGTCCATAATTAAAAATAAATCTACAAATAATTTATGTTGTCAGCCATCTTGATTTTAACTCATTGAGGTATAAATAAATCTTCCCTCATATGTTTTGTATAATTCTATTTTTATGACGTAAAACTAATTCAACGGATTTGAAATCTAATTTTTTAGATTTTTTTTTTAGGGGGAGGGAAGGAGAGGGGAGAGAAAATAATGTTGATGGGCGGGCTGTTGATGAACTTTTACATTTACCACTTTTCAGATCCCTGTACAGCACTCAATCACTGACTTCGTAACATCACGCCCCCATGGAGGCAGTGAACGGGGTTTGAGAGCCTGAAGAGAAATCTTCACCCTGGAGACATTACTGAACCTAAGGCCTCTGTTTCCTCATTTGAAAACCAGGTATAATCAATGGAGGATTAAGGACCCAAAGCACAACTTGAATAGAATGTATTTTGTATCTTACTAACAAATTCAAGTATTGGGCAGTAATACAAAGAAAAAAAAAAACACAGGCAAAAAATATCTATGGAATGGGTTTACTGTGAGGATTTAAACAAAGTATCACTTGGCATAGTAGCTATAAAAAGATATTAAAGTTCATTTCTTCCACAGAGCTTGTATCAAAATATATTTTTAAAGGAGACTTTGCAGAATAAGATAATTTTCACTCATCCCAATATGCCAGGAACCTGTAAATCACCTCAAATACAGTATTCGGTATCACATATTACATAACATTATTTATAGTAATATCCCATCTTATTAGATTTACATGTAGATGTCTACTGATTTGCCAAATTGGCCTACAGAGAGAGGAAAACAGGCTAGGAAAGGTAAGCTACATTCAGATATATTCAATACATTTTTCTGGCCCTTGGCAATTCCTCTTTCCAGGTCACTATTTTGCAGATACCAAAGCAATTACCAACTAAAAAACCTGGGAGCAAAATGATAACAAAGAATCCACTCATGACAGAATTCTTGGCTTAATGTTATAAACATCTCACAGAATTATTTTTTAAAGCCCCCCCAACAGGTCTTCTTGCCATCAGTTCAAAGAAATTACCAACATTACAGAGTGAATGCTAGTAAACTGTATCAGATTTTCTGTTGTAGACATTTTTGCCTCACAAATGCTACATAAAGCTCATTTTTAAATGCCACAAACCTATTTTAAGCTTCATTTAAAATGCAAAATGCCATAATCAGTTTATAAAATGCACATTAACTCTTTCCCATGTAAAAATGAAGCAAAAATTACATTCAAAATCCAAGGAATATAAAATTATTCTTCTTCCACACGTCTGAAAAGAGGCAATTTTTAAAATACAAAATACTCAAAAGAAAATTTTATAAGTTGGTCTTAAAATGTCTTTAAACAAAATAATACAGCAATAAATTAATTAAGCAATTACCCACCATGGAAGTATAAAAGCTATATAAAAAGAATGGCATGACATGATGCTATAATTTTTATAAAGACTAGAGAACAGTAATAATAATGGAAAATGTAGTGCCTTATAAATACTCAGCATTATTAAACAATAACTAAGAAAACACCAGGGCAAAAATTGTGTTCATAGACATCATCATCTTCACTACTGACTACCTACCTCAGCTGTCATTACAGCTTCCATTGTTCACAATAAAATATTTGCAATTTTTGGTTATTTATTTCACCACTAAGGGAAAAGAGGTAAATATTGCTGAAATTTTTTTAAAAACCACAAAAGCCTTGGCAGAATAAAGTGTTTTATATGCCCTATCTTTCCACCATTAATTGTAGGACTAAATCACTACCTGAGAACTAAAGATATCAACAAATATCTATTAAAATCTGTTCAGTAAACATAGCTATTTTGCTACAAACAATATAAAATTTAATTTCTCTATTTTTTGTAAAACCAATGACTTAGAACACGATTACTGATGTACAAAGCTACCATAGCCACATTAACTCAATTCTTCCAATTTTATCTCTCTTTACCACATATTTCCCCCCTACTAGTAACCAAAGTACATTTGGCAGGTTACACTATGTCAAATATCTAACACTGAAAGTTACTTTTTGAGCCTGAATCCAAGGATGAAAATAAATCATACATTTTATAGAAGCTTCTTTTAATAATGAGCGAAGTGGGACAGTAAGTAACAAGACTTTGATTCTTCATATATTTTTTCTCTAATTGTAAAAGTAATGTGACAATTTGAAAAATACAGAAATGTATTTTTTTAATCCACCCATAAATCTTTGTTAACTTCTTGGTAGATTACTTTCCAGTGATAACTAAACTTCTTTTATCTAATCAGACACTAATAAATATGCAGGACAAACCAGTGTATCCTCAATGAATAGACATATAAAACATCAATTATTAATGATATGACCTGTTAATTTCAAAGACATCCAAAATATGTTAAGTGGTGATGGGGGGGCAGGGGGGAACCTCACAATTCAGACATTGGTTCCTAACCTGAAGTCCTTTCACCATTTTTATAGTGTCAACATTTTAATGGTAGCAAGCTCCAAGACATGACTGCTCTTACACAATAACAATTATCATCCCTGTATCAAAGGAGCTTTACTTTTACATTCTTTCCAACCACATTTCAATGTCTTTATTTTCACTATAAAAATCAATAATATATTTGCATAACAATTTTAAACATAAATTCAAAGTCTCGGGTATTTTCTTTGAAAGCCAGCATTTAAATTGTTAGTGCTTTTGGCCTATGAGATAGTTTACCAGATTAAAAAAAACAGCACTTTTTATATTCCAATATTCTCTTCTAACATACAAACAAAAATATTCCTTAAATAAAGCCAGTTTTTTCTTTTGTTCCAACTGTTGTTTATGAAACACTGTTAGAAATACAGATGTTGGAATTACAAAGACTAAAATGTCTTAATAACACCCCAACATTTAATAAGCTAACTACTTAGTCTCATAAAAGAATAAAAACAATGATATTAAGACTAGCTAATTTTCCCCCCTCAAAATTTGGTCAAACCTTATTTCTAGCTTCAAGGGAGGATTCCCCCCACTCCCGGCATCAAAAGGCTTAAGATTCCATTTATTTTCTTCTGCCCAATGGTTAACAAAATAAGTCTAAAAGACAGTAATTCGGATTTGTTCTTCTGACCATCTTACACACGCACCTCTTAAAAGAAATCCTTCCCAAAAGAATCGGCAAAGTTTGAGGGAAGAACTAAGTCAAGCAGAAGGTCTAGCTGCTAGGAACACACTTCGCTGACCCTGGATATAGCACAAACTCCAAAAAAAATTGGCCACTTTTGTATCTAGGAAATCGCTAACTAAAGAGATGCTAAGCCATGATCCATGACACGTCTTTGGTTAACATACAAGACACACAGGACGAGCCCCACAGATTTCAGCTAAACGCGTTTGCCATTTTTGCAGAAGAAAAGCTAATTGTTAATGGCCATGTGACACTATAAGATCCCAGAAAGGAAAGGGTGGGAGGAAGAGAGAAGAGTTCAAGGCGGTTCAGGGTCAGAACCAACTCAGGCATCCTGTCATTAGCAAACGTTCCTCAGGCTGAAGGCAAAATACCGCTTACCCGAAAAGGCGTGGGTGTAAAGTAGGGAGTAGGGAGGGAACGGGGGGCACAGGAGAACCAGTGTGGCGGTGACGGGGTGAGGGGAGGAAGGCAATCTGGAGCTCTCCAGCTAATTTGGAGAGCGAAAGCAACGGGCACAAAATGCTGAGAAAAGCGACTGCGATGGCCACAATACTTGGCAGCACCCCATTTCCCTCTCCGCATTGGTTCCTCGGGTTTCCCCACATTTCCCCCACCTCTGCTCCTGACCAACACTCCGGGGACTGACCCACCAGCGGGAGGTGGCCCTGAGCTTTGTCTCGCCCCGCGCCCCAAGCCCGGGCCGCTCCGCCCCCGCCCCCTCGGCGCGCCCCACCCGCGCACACCCCCGGCGTTTCCAAGGAGCTGGGAGCAGCGCCGCTGCTGCTGCCGCCGCCTGGCCCACCTCCCGTGGACCCGCGTCTCTTCTTTCCCTCCGAGATGCGCAGCCCGCGCGTGCAGCCCCACCCCCGCCCAGGGGATCTTTGTGTCTCCGGGGACTATCAACCTCTTCCCCTCCTCGGCCTCGCGGGGAAGCCGGCCTCCCCCAGGGACCAAAGCGGCAGCGCGCACCGGAGGCGGCGGTGCCGGCGGCGGCTGCAGGCGCCTCCAGGGAAGGAGCACAACACACACCCCACTCCCGGAAATGCCTCGACCACCCGCGGTCCGCACTGGACCCCCGCGAAGGCGACAGGCGCACGCGAGCCCCTGCGCCGCGCCTCCCTCTCGCAACTTCCCAGCCAGGCCCGAGCCTCTCGCGCCCCCACCAACCCCCGCCCCCCCCCCGACTCAGCCCGGGGTCCGCGGGGAAGGGGGGCCGGGAAAGCCCCGCGCCGCCGCCCGCCGCCAACTCACCAGCAAGTGCGGTGGCCGCGTCCTGGGCGAGGCGAGGCGCGGTGGGCAAGCGGCTCTGCCGACGCCCGCAGCGACCGGATGCAGGTCCCGGTCCCAGCAGCTGGCAGACCCAAGGCGTCTTCGAGGCGCAGGCCTGCCCCGCCGCGGCTGCCTTCCCACTCTGGCCGAAGAGTCCGAAGCCTCGGGAGGGGCGGCGCGGGTCTCTCACGCGTCGCCTGGTCCCCAGGTCAACATGGCTCCCGGTCCGCCGAACCGCGCGGGCGGCCCACTAATCCCCTCGGAGGAGCTAGGGCGGGAGCGAGGCGGGCTGGAAGCGACGAGCCTCGCCGAGGCGGCCCGACCGAACGCAGGCTCCTTTTCTGGGCTCGGACGGTGAGGACCGCGAGAGACCGCAGGCGGCCGCTTTCGCTCGCTGCGTCTGTGTCGCTTTCTCACTCGACAGCAGCGGATTGACGCCTCCGCCAGTGTCCCCGAGGAGAGCGAGAGAGAGCGAGAGGAAAAAAAAAAGACTTTTATTGAAACGATCCAACCAGCGGCAGCAGAGAGAAAAAGCTACCGGCCGCCTGAGCTTTCCCCACCCCCGTCCGAGCCACTCGCCGGGGGCAGCGCGACCCCTGCCGGCGGCCGCGGCGGCGGAGGGAGGCGGAGCTGGCGAGCCAGGGGCGGAGCCTGGAGGGCAGGGCGGGGTATCCCCGGGAAACCCCCACCCGGAGGAGGGGGCTTGCATCTCCCTTGCTTACAGTCGGGAGCGGTCTGGAGGGGATGAGAAGACCCCAGAGAGCTGAGAAACTTAAACTTAGACAGTGTCTGCTACTGAAGAAGAAAGTATCTGGATAAGTCAGTACCCACCCCCGCCAAAACAACTCCTGCTTAAATTTTCTTAGTAGTTATGTAATTAAGATAACCCATGCCACCCTTCTTCACTGGTTTTCTAGAGAGTTGATGTCAAAGGACCCACACGTGAGTATGTTGATTGCTGCAACTTTTCTTTATTATATGTGGGTACCTATGAGGCAGTCATGTCTGCAAGCAGCATTTATTCATTTAAACTGCAGATTTCTTTATATTCTATTCCTGGCAATATGCTAGGTCCTCAAAGGACTGAGAGTCTCCCTGGTATGAGAGATGTTCAATAGAATAAAACTCTAAGCTTTATGAGAAGGAAAATAAAAGGTACTATGAGAACAGAGGAACTACTGCTGCGGTTGGTTAGGTTTTTTCCTGAAGATGGAGGGCTGTAGAGATATTGGCCTAGTTTCTGTAATGTTTTTACTTTCTTCTTTTCCAAAGGCTAAAAGCTAGTCAGCAATGAACAGCAGCTTGAAAGTGAAGACAAACTCAAGTAATACTGACCCACTTTTTTTCCATTAATAAGGATAGAAACTAAGTAAAAACAAACATAAAAGCCTAGAGGGAGATAATGAGAAGACTGAAAAAGAAGAGAATGGGGACCGGATGTAGACAACCTAAACAAGAAAAAAAATTTAACCACATAAAAGTCTTGGTGAAGTGAGATATAAATATTTTTCCATTTTAATACCAGGAAATAGATTTAAATCCTTAATGCAATTTCAAATCACATTATGTTCTAAAGACCTGACAGTGATCTTTTTGGATTCCTAGATGAATCCTTTCTCCCTAAAAACAATGCTGGCTGACTTCTTTTTCCTATTTTGTTAGGCAAAGTTGAATGTATCTGCTGTAATATCCAACAGTTACACATTTCAATCAGACTTCTCCCATGTCTCTAAAATTAGCAGGGTACATAAATTGGCAACATTTATGTTCTTATGCATATTTAACACTTGCTTATCATACAAGAATGCAAACGTTCACACAAGGTTTGCTTTGGAAAAAGTGTGCTCATTTTAAAAAGCACTGTTAATGATGCTTTTTAGATTTGTCTAAGTCAAAGAACTTTGTAAAATAGAAACATCCTTTTAAGAGGTCTTTTAAAATTAGACAAATTAAAGCCTGCTTGTATGACAAGTATTTTTTCACATGCTTTCCTTATTTAAAAAATAATTGTATGCCCTCTTTTTGGCCCCTTAGTAAATACTAAAAATTACAATAAAACTGAGGCTAAAAAATGGCATTAGTAATTCCCTAAACCTACCATTAGATTGGAACCACTCCAGTAGAAATCAAGAATGTTCTAATTGCCTCATCTAAAGCTGCTAAAGAGCACATTCCTCTTGCTATATCTTTTATTATTATAATAAAGATTTCATAATTAGAACTGTGATGATTACTTTATTAACCTATTTATTCTTTCCGTCAATAAGTATTTACTGCCCTGGCTGATGTGGCTCAGTGGACTGAGAGCTGGCCTGTGAATCAGGGGGTCGCTAGTTCGATTCCCGGTCAGGACACATGCCTGGGTTGCAGGCCAGGCCCCTGGTGGCGAGTGCACGACTGGCTGCCACACATTGATGTTTCTCTCCCTTTCTTCCTCCTTCCCTTCCCCCTTTCTAAAAATGGGTAAGTAAAATCTTTAAAAAAAAGTATTTAGTGACTGTACATGATGTGCCAAGCACTGTTCTAGGCACTGTAGTTATAGAAGTGAATAAGACAGATAAGGCATTGCCCTCATAGAACTGTTTTCTGGTGGTAGAAACAGGTAATAAAATGTAAGAATTAATAAGATAACTTAAAATCGTGAGATATATAATGAAAAAAAATGGAACAATACTGAAAAAAGAAATGAAGGAGAGAAAACAGAAGTATTTTAGGTGGTGAGGTCAGGAGAGGCCTGATGGTCAGCAGAAGCTGGAAGTCATGGGTTCTCCTCTGTATCTCTCAGTAAAATATTCCATCAGAATAGATTGCATGAAAAAAGAATTGTGGTATATACATACAGTGGAATATTATTCAGCCATAAAAAAGGAGAAAGCAGTGCCAGAACATGGATAAACCTTGAGGACATTATGCTAAGTGAAACAAGCTAATCACAGAAGGATGAATACTACATGTTTCTACTTATATGAAGTATCCCGAACAGCTAAAGAAGTGGAGAGGAGAAGAGGGACCATCAGGGGCTATAGGGTGGGAGAAATGGGGAGTTGCTGTCCAACAGGGATAAGATTTCAGTGAGACAAGATGAGTAAGTTCTAGAGATCTGCTGTCCAACGTTGTGCCTATAGTTAACAATACGGTACTACTGGACACACGAAATTTGTTAAGAGGGTAGATCTCATGTTATCTGCTCTTATCACAATAATAAAGAAAAGGTAAAAGTCACAATCAAGATAATGGGTGAGTGCATTTTTAGTTATTTTTCTAAATTGATCTAAAATTCACACATCATGTTTTGGGCATGTTAGTAGGCCTTTTTCCTAGGTTGTAATATAGATTTTTTAAAGGATTTTATTTATTTATTTTTTAGTGAGGGGAATGGAGAGAGAAAAACATCATTATGTGGTTGCCTCTCGTGCACCCCCCTACTGGGGACCTGGCCTGCAACCCAGGCACGTGCCCTAGACTGGAAATCGAACTGGCAACTCTTTGATTCTCAGGCCGACACTCAACCACTGAGCCTCACCACCAGAGCATAATATAGATTTTTTAACATTGTAAAATAAAGCTAAATTATAAAATTACTTACAGCATTTTCCAAACTTTGTTTAACAGATGCTCCCTAGCAGTTGGTGAGGAAGAGGGTTTGGAAAGAATTCCAAGATCAAATCCACATGGGAAATGCCCGATACTTTAGCTTCCTTTTGAAAAATTCTCAGTGCACAGTTACATAATAAAAGCTGAAATGTTATGAGATTAAATTCTTTACAGTATAAAAGCATTTTTATAAGAATATAATATTAGAAAGTTTTTATAAATATAATTTTTTTCCAGTAAAACCAGTAATCCCCAGAATGTTTTGACCATAGCACAGTTTTATCACAGGACATACATGAAAATATTGAGGGAGACACACATGCTGAGAGCACAGTGTGGGAAACTGCTCTCTTGGAGCAGTTTACTCTTTACTAGGCATTTACTCTTTAGCCGCAGGAAAGGAGGACCTTAAAGGGGAGAATTTGAAGGTCATTGAACTTTGGACAGAGAGAGGAGGAAGGAATGAAGCCAGAAAGTCTTTGCAGTGATTGACACTTTAAGAGTGACATAGCTTAGGAAACAAATGTGAAACATATCTGGGCAAGTTATAGAAAAGAGAAATAGGCTGGTTTCAGTTCTCTCTCTCAAACCAAGGTTCCTGAACCAGCAGTAGCAATATTATCTGGGAATTTCTTAGAAATTAAAATTCTCAGGCCCCACCCTAGATGAACTGAGTCAGAAATTCTGGGATGGAGCCCAGCAAACTGTTTTCACAAGTCCTCTAGGATTCTGTTGGACAATAAAATTTAAGAAGTACTTCTCACCCTGGCTGGTATGGCTCAGTGGACTGAATGCCAGGCTGCAAACCAAAGGGTTGCCAGTTTGATTCCCAGTCAGGGCACATGCCTGAGTTGTGGGCCAGGTCTCCAGTTGGGGGTGCATGAGGGGCAACCATGCATTGATATTTCTCTCCCTCATCTTCTCCCTCCCTTACCCTCGCTCTAAAGATAAAATTTAAAATCCCTGGCTGGCGTAGCTCAGTGGATTGAGTGCGGGCCTGCGAACCAGAGTATCGCGGTTCGATTCCCAGTCAGGGCACATGCCTGGGTTGTGGTCCAGTTCCCAGCAGGGGACGCACGAGAGGCAACCATACATTGATATTTCTCTCCCTCTCTCCTTCCCTTCCCCTCTAAACATAAATAAATAAAATAAAATAAAAAAATACATTCACTATTTAAAAAAAAGAAGCACGTCTCTACAGAGCATTAATACATAGCTCTACCAAATTACAAAACAATTTTCCAGGTGTCTGAATTTCTGAATCATTTCCAATTATTAATATTTGTAAAAAAAAGTTCTCAAAGAAATGAGTTAACTTTCAAATTGTGAAAACACTTTTCGGCTGGCTGTGTACCCTATTTTGCCAGGCCAAACTATATAATAAAAATTTTTGTTTTGCAACAAGAATGAAGAAAATCAAGCGAAGGGCAACAATCACCTATCTTTGCCCCAATATCACCTGAACGACATA